GAAACACCCATTCAAGAAGACATACAAGGCAAACATGGGGGAACAGGTGAAACCGGTCATGCAGCAAACACAGTTGCGCTACCTTTAACAACAGAAAAACTAAAAACCACACAAGGGAAGCTGAGGGAAAAAACTATTATGCAAAATCAACTTTTTTGAGTGTCCTGATTCATCTCAATAATCCAGGTAGAAAAAAGAATTGGGTAGGTCCTCATGTTATAATGTCATTAAAAGAAACACAGTGTTGCTTTGACTCTTTCATGTATGTCTGAGAAACCCTTGAATCTCCTGGTAGCCATGTGAAGCCTGAGCTTACAGATGTCTCGGCCTCTGTCAGATCACCACAGTGAGGTTGGAGGACGTGCCCGGCTGCAGCCTGTCCACACTTGTCCAGTGTAATCAGCTTCAGTCCCTCACCCTCCGACGCTGTGGCCTCAGATCTTTGGAGGGAGTCAGTCAGCTACAGGAGCTCCGTTACATCGATGTCCAGGTGAATATCCAATTCAATCAGCACGAGTTACTGCTGCCCCTTTTACCCAATCAACCCCCAACAATAACACTTTTCCTAAAATGTGACATTTCAGGAGAATGCCATCTCATTTGTGGACTGTGAAAATATGAACAATCTGCGTGTTCTTCGACTTGCCCACAACAATTTGACGTCCATCCATGGTATAAGTGGAAATTTGGATGTTCTTGAACTCTCGTACAACTCCATCACCCGCATCTGTGAGATCACGCAGCGTCAGCACGTTTTTGACAAGCATTTGTACATTTAATGTGAAAATAGAAAAGTCAACTTCATACACAATAAACATAAAATGTCCAGGTGTAGCTCCACACTAGAGGGCAGCAGAGGCCTACCCACACACTCACTCACCCTACAGACAGAGCTGTTAAAACATAATTCTAAGAGGTTTTTTTTTTTTATTTCTCAAGTGCAGATTCTCCACAAGGGAAGCCACTTTACTGTTTTAGCAATCAACTTCTCATTTTGTTTGCAGCCGGTCTGGAGTGTGTTAAAAGGCTGCAGAAACTTCTGGTTGACCATAACCAGCTGATCAGCACCAAAGGGCTGAGGGACGTTTATACACTCCTCCACTTGGACTGCTCACACAACCACCTGGCAGCCGTGGAGGGACTGGAGAGCAACCTTCTGCTCCACACACTGGACCTTAGAGCCAACAGTCTTACTGAGGTAAAAACAAAAACAAATAGAAACAACTGGTGAATACACTGAATATTGTAGTTTACCTGGTTTTGACCCACAAAATTCTGCTTTTGTTTTTTTTTAACTTCCTAAACAGTGGATTCAGCTAACATGAGCCAAATAGGGTTGAGCAAGATCATCACATTTTTTTAAAAAATCGTACGGCTATTCACTTTTATTGCTTTTGCACACTACATTCCTGGTAGACATTTAACAATAGTTTTGATTTGTTTAAGTGTTTTATTTGGGTGGGACACAGGATTTTATGAAGCGTTGCAAAACAAAACTATTAAATCTGAGCCTGGCATAATAAATTGAACTCATAACTAACAAGGGTGATACAAGAATTTTAATTAGGCTTATAAACAAAACTATTTTTAATGTATTGATAAACTATATAAAATGAAGATGTTAACCTTTATAATAGAAATTCCTTTTTTCAAGCCAGTTTTTGGTACAAATTCTTGCTGAGAGAAGAACCATAAACAGGCCACACAAATAGCATAAACAATTATTTTGCAACAAAAAGCATTTTGTTTCAGATAAAAAATCTTAAACTATCCTATAATCATGCATCACAAACAACATGGATTGATGCTAATATGACTTTAATAAAACTATTTGAATTGTGTAAGAATACCATTTAATGATGATGTAAAATGTTTATTTGTGTGGCAAAGAGTACAAACTATAACAAAGGCTCGATACACTGCAGAAATGGTCCATCTAACCAAATATTTTTATTTTATATTCAGACAAAAAGTATTTTTGATCTTGTTTTAGACTGATATATTGAAGCAGGATGCTTGGATTATTAATCTTGTTAGCCTGGAAATTCTACTTATTTTAGAAATCTTACCAAGTGCAGTTATCCTCTTCCATGGACAGATTGTTTCATTTCATTTTATTTTATTTTATTTTAAAAATTTGAGAAGATTCAGACACAAATTAAGCCCAAAGGAGCACCACTTTTTTCTGGATATAAGATAAAAAGACTTGGTTAATTGACAATTTTTGTTGTATACAATACCGCAGTGTATCTGCTACACAAGTTGTGTTATGGCTTTATCAAAAATTTCTAAACTTATGCTTGACTGTCATAATAGTTTTAAATTATAGTATGTTCAAACACACAAAATCACACACAAATACTAATTTCCTGGAGCACAAACTCCAATTTATTTACTGTTGAAGTTTTGTTGTTAAAGAAAATATTTGCAAATCATTTTTTATCATTTTTATGTTGAATTTCTTTGGATGTGAAATCTGTGTGATTTAATAAAGCTAAATTATGCCCATTTGACCTGAGTTATGAGTCACACTCAGAAGGGGACTTACTTTATACTGTAACCTTTGTCATTTAAAAAAATGTTGACCTTTTCAAACATACATTTACATACATTTATTGCAAAATTACAGAGAAGAAAAAAACATGCATGTCAGGTTACCTTTGGGCCTAGCTTACAAAAGAGATCTGTGGAATTTGTCTGGTTAAAGAAAGGTTAATAA